GCTGCTGAATATACAGCCAGCTATATTAAACCAATTATATTGTTCATCTTAACATAAGGATTGTGGGCTATGTAGGGTACTGGAAGAGTGCCAGGGATGGTGGATGGAAAGTGGGAGTTGGTGGTCTCATTTAAAACGTCACTCTCTTGCTCACAAAGGTGCACATTAAAAATGGAGTATCCAAGGTCACTTTCGGCCAAACTGAAGTACCATTGATGGAGTGGTGCAGTGATCCTTTCCTGTACCCATGCAGGGAAGCTGAGAAAGGTCTGGCTATTGATTCCTCGGGCAACAGATGGCCATAGCTAATCCCTGTCTGTGTCCATGCATTCTCCCGATGCTATCCATCGGTTAAAAAAAATAACAATGTATCCTTTGTAATCATCTTCTGAGATGCCACTTCAAGAGAACAGATTTTACTGCCAGCCAACATTTCAAATGCTTTTCATGGTCTTCAGCTGATGTACCAAATAATTTTTTTCCTTCGGAGAACATAATCTTACAAAAAGAATCAATGAACAAACAGGCTTTTGCATAGATATGAGTCACTATTTGGGGAGTTTACAGACAGGCAAACAGATTAGGAACTAGAGCATCCGATTTGAGTCTCGAGATAATAAAATACTTCCTTTCTGAGAGAGGCAAAAGACAAACTCTTTGAGAAAGAGGTCACACTTAGGGCAGGGGCTGTTTAGTCTTCGAATTAAGCCATTTGGATCTTGTTCCCTGAGGTGTTCTCAACTCCTGACCTTGATTTAGTAAACTTGAAACACATCCGTACTTATTTCCTTTCCATTATCTGTGAATTATGCAAACTATGCACATAATCTGCCCCACCGTGCAGGATCTGGGCGCTCAAATGTGCGCTGATTGTTTACCATCCCTAGGGAACCAGAAATGCACAGAGGAAACAACTAATATTGAGGAGTCTTCCCATGGAGCCAGACACACAAACATACACAACCACACACACTGGAGAGTCGCCTATGAACAATGAAAATGAGGAGGAGTCTTCTGATTTGCTTGCTAGGGTCAAAGCGGTCTCACACGAATTAGATAACTCAATCAACAGTCAATCAAGGCCTAGCTCAAACTTAGCTGCATCTAATAGCTATAATTCCCCCAAATCGAATTGCGCAAAACCATTTGAAAAACATCTGCTGATCCTTCTCTAAGATCTTGAGGTTGGTCAAAGGCCCGAGGGATGAGACCATGAGAGTTGAAGAAAAGACTGCACACTTAATTAGCCTGACCGCACTATGTCGAGAAAGCCGAAAAGTCCCACAGGGTTCACATGACGAGTCCCTCAGTGCTGACAGGTGCCCGCCATGACACCGAGAGAGGGGAAATTAATCCGCTAACACAAACAAATCGCCCTCAGGCCTGTTTTCTGTCAGGGGTAGCGACACAAAGACCATTGATTTGAGCTCTCCGAGCACGCAGAAAGTGTTTTTGACGGGTTCCCTGCTGTCAGACATTCGGGGTGTTTGACTTCTAATCCACCCTGAGGGGGTTTCAAATAACCACACAAAGCAGCATGACTATTCATTCAGCAGTATATCACCATTTAAGTGAGAATATGAACATTTCACAGAAACAGCACAACATAGCTGAAACCAACAGGACACAGATGTGTTTCTTGGTTGGCGCCAAGCCCTGCTCTCAAGAGAAGCGTTTCTGACTAAAATTAGCTAGGCTGAACATAATTACATTTGAGTTTTGATAATTAATTTAACAATAAAAGATATGGCAGCTCACGAGATGAGCATTCACAGCCATCTGCACCTCATTTGACATGCAACAAGACATTTGGGCGGATATCTGTAGTTTCCATTTGATGAAGACATTTCATTTACATGCCACTCAGTTTCTAACAGATGAGAACAAAGTATTTGCCTGAATTTGAATAATGGATGCACCTAAAACAAAGAGAGCGGAACTACAAAGGGTTTCAGCCTGCAAAGCACACAAACCCCTCCAATTTGGGCATCAAAAACTCCAAACCCAGGAGAGAGAATAAAACCGCAGATTTACTGGGTAGACTGCCAAGATGTTCGGAGCAACAGCTGGCTGCCAAGGTTACTGCTGAAGGAACAACAACCAAAAAAAAAAAAAAAAACTATTTCTCTTTAAAGCGTTACAAATTAAGCGAGACTAATCCATTTCAGACCGTTGCTGGGCTTTCAACACCATTGAATAATGAGTACTCTCGGATGATCTCTCTTATAGGATGAAGACCAGTGACAGAATGAGCATTAACGCTATTAGATTGAAGATAATTAAAATGGCACTGGACTGATTTCCTATTGACAAACACAAAACTCATTTGTTTCAAAATGAAAATGTGAATGATCAGTTGTAGACATTTTGCAAAGATTGTAAAAGATCTTTGAGACTGTGAGGCAATAGTTCTCACAAAAAAAATGATCAAGCCTCAAATCTCCTTCCAAACTCAACTTACATTCTTCTAACAGGCAGGAAAAGGAAATATTTTGAAGAATGGCTATTCCTTAATGACAATCAATGACAGCCTTTATAAAAAGCACAAAAAAATCGATCACCATAAAATTAAGATAAATAGTCGGGCGCTATTTTCCAAGCTGTTAGAAGCCCTACGATACCTTTGTGCAAGCAAAAAACTAAATCATTATTCTAAAAGTCATTATTCACTGAAGATTTGGGACATCTCACTTCTTGGCGAGTTTGTGGGTGAAGTGAAGCCATACCCAATTTGTGAATGACCGAGTTGTTTATTTTTTTTAATTTGCAGATTGCAGAAATTGCAAGTAATCTGAATTGTGAATTGTTCAATAGGATAAATCCAATCCCATACTAACACTCATGTTGGATTTTTTTATTTTTCAACTTTTTGAATCTAAAGTCTCGTCTTATGGGATAACAAAGTGATGGCTGATTGCACACTTTGAACCAAAGACAGTTTTCTTACTGTTTCATGAGTAGCCTATTCTGCCATGCTGCTTCTGCTTACTTTATAGCCTAGTAGGCTAGTAGAGAAGAATAGTAGGGAATGATTTGTTCACGAATCTGACTCTGAACAATTCTGTAGCAGCGTTTAACTTAAGTGAATGGAAAGTGGATAGGGACTTAAATTTCGGCCTGTTCCCTGTTCCTCACACAAAGCTATCACATGGCGTCACAAGACTTGGAATATATAACGACTCGTGTGGATTACTTTTATGTTTCACGGAAGAATGTCAAAAGGGTTCAAAAGGAAATGAATTGAGTGAATGTTGACAATTAAAATTTTGGGTGGACTAATATAGCCTAACAAGTTTTAAAGTGAAAAGACAACGACAAAGCGAATAAATATTAAACTTTTTTACACAAATTTCACATATAACAGCTGCAGTGCTAACAAAAATGTTGTCAAGATGTAGGATGTTATTATTCCGGCTATCCCAAACAATAAATAATGCTGCGAAACTGCCCGCTAGCATGAGCATCAGCATCAGCACACCAAATGAATTGTCCTTATCTAAAACAAAGCAAAATATTTCCAGCAGCTTTCCAAAGAGCATCTTTTGTTAAAACCAAAAACACACGCGCGCTGTGGAGCCGGGTGGATGGACAAAACACTCCGTGGAGTTCACCTAGCCTATACGAAAAAGTTTCTTTCGGAACAAGTTCAAATACAAGAGACAGTAAGTCATCTTACCTCGCCAAGGACGAGACGACAATCCCATTGTATGTGTAAAATTATACAATGAACGATTCCTTGTGTCAATACACGCGTTATTTCCCAAAGAGACGCGCCTTCCACAATAGAAGCGCAACAACTCAACAGATCTCAGGACACAGCGAGCGGCTGACTGACAGCCCCACCGGCACAAAGCCCGCCTCTTCTACGCGCTGATTGGTCGTGGCGTACACAGAACTCCTCCTCCTTTGACAGAGGATTATAATTTGCTACCTGGCCTGTCGATCTCGTCCTTTGACTTTAAAGGGGCTGTTTGGAACGATGTTGTGAGACTCATTTATGTAGTCTCATGTTGGGTAAATTATATCCACCGTGTATATAAGCCTATTAAATTAAGTTTTTTAGTGATGATAAATAAAGTTCTATAAACGTCCACTTTTTAAATTGCATTTTAATGTATGCATTTGTAAGCAAACATCATTTAATCCATGAAATTGCCTCAGGGTAACAAACCCATATAGGTCTATATTTATACGCACATTGTGCATCCTAGATGGCAATTAATAGTGAGGGGATGACGTTGAATAAACAAGCAAAATGCTTTGACTTGGGGACACTACATCCTGGTGGTCATTTTACAAACTTGTCTGTTGTTGGGGAGACATTTTCCCCCTTCAAGCTTTTTTCCCCCTTCAAAATCACATTTAGCGTTATAAATAGGCTAATTTTAATGAGGATTTGCTTAAATGTGTTTTATTTTTTGCCTTGAAGCAACATTTTGCAACAGTGGAATGGATGTGAACACAGTGGATAGGGACAGAATTAATTTTGTGCTCTGTCTTCATTATGAAATACTACAATATTTACTTGACAAAGTAAATAGACAGTGAAGAACATTTAAAAAAAAAAAAAGTCATTTAACAATTAGTGTAAAGCCTGGTGTTTCATATAATGGAATTGTTACATTTTATTTTTCTGTTATGACATCAACAGATTGTTTAACTCATTTTCACAATACACAAAAACCTGTCCATGATGAATTTGCTTCATTTTAATTGTCAGCATACCTAAAAACATACTTTAACAGCTTTTATAGGCTAATGCATTCAAGGGTGGGTTAATTTGTCATAAATTGAATTGAGATCATGTAAGCCTCATATTATTGTACAATAATCTTACACGCTCTAGTAGAATGTCAAGTTATTTTTAGATCTGAAGTCGAGCTACCATGTGCCATCTATACATGTAGCTTGTGTTTCCAGGACTGTAAAGGGTTTTCAGTGACCCAACATGTTTTCTTTACACTGCCTTGAAGCAATCAGCATACAAGTCACACAGACACTTGTGTGGATTCAGTTTTATTTTGTGCAAAATAGTTAACGATGTAATTGTGAGAATAACAAAACAGCACTTTATGGCCACACAAACACATTAATAATCCCTTCAATGGCATATATGCTCCATCATAGTGATTTACAAACTGTTTTCTGAGATGTACAGTTTATTATAATAGAGTCTGGTAATAAAGGGGAGTGCCATATGCATTTTTTTTCTCATGACAGTCTTGTTATTATTTCCAAATCAGCAGGATGATGTATCTGGGTCTAATGATTCTGTTGTTAGCTCGAAATGGGTGTGTACAGAGGCGCCTTTTTATTGCACATGGGTTAAACCTTCCGCTGCAAGCAGGACAAGGGCTCCATCTGGAGTTGGGCAATGGTAATTTCAAACTTCTATTGTGTGTCTGCACTGTAGTCTATACAGTGGGTCTCGGATCAACCTTGAATGACAGTTTTGCATTAAATTTACCATGTTGATATAGAGGAGAATAAACTGAAGTAAAATGATACATGTACAGCATAGTAAATGCACAGCAGATAAATGATGAGATGTTCAAAACGATCCCATCCATGACATAACCCATCTTGCCAATGATGGGACGGGGTTACATGGGCAACATAACCATCTCATCCATGGAGTGGGTGTGCTACCTGCCCCCTGCTGGTTTTGATTGATAGCCCTGCAATTAAAAAAAAGCAATTAACCTGCCATTAAAAGAGGAAATGTAATTGTTCATTTGTTTTTCATTATAAATCTGTATGTCATATCATATACTCATTCATGTTCTCAATTTTAAGCAAATTTTAAGTCTAAAGGGAAATACTGGCCTAATTTTTAAGGCTGTGTTTAGGGCCGAACACAGCTGTCAAACATGGCGATCAATTTCCATGTTATCCCCATGAGATTTTGTCATTATTGCAGCCTGGAGTATTTGTCAGTGTAATAAAGGCCATATCATTTCATGATTAATAACGGGAGCATAAAAATATCAAATTCAATTTTTTTACAAACACTGTTTTTTTCTTCTTTTTCATTCTCTTTGTCCAGAATTGCAGGTGTCCCAACAATAAAATGTACAAAATTCCTGTAGCTCTTTATGCATAGCCTGTACTTCTCCAATGCAACTTTTACATTATATTAGTGTTATCATTTATAACAATTGCGCAATTAAAAGTAAAGCATAAAATGTTGCTCGACGGAGAATTAAATAATCGTATGAACTGTGCACATGCCCAACAGATGGAGCTATTTGCTAATCACATCACACTTTGGCAGCAGGTCACAGTCTGGCCACTAATATGAATATGGCACGAGTTGTTAACCATATGACGACATGTCAATGTCATGAAAGAACGGAACTACTCTATTTTCTAATATTCTATCAAATCATTTTCAGTGATGGCCAATTCATTGGAAGATGAAACCGTTTGTCTTCAGTGTCACATGATCCTTCAGAAATCATGTTGAATTGGTGCTCAAGAAACATCTAAAATTATTCTTTATGTTGAAAACAGTTTTGCTGTTTATATTTTAGAGAAAACTGTGATACATTTGAATATTTATACATTTGTACATTTCATATTTTGTAACACTGTAAATGTCATTTTGGTCAATTTGCCGTTAGGCCTAAGTGTTAAACGAGTCGTTCACTTAAAAAAAAAAAACGTTTGCTGATAATTTACTCACCCCCATGTCATCCAAGATATCCATGTCATTCTTTCTTCAGTCGAAAAGAAATTAAGGTTTTTGATGAAAACATTCCAGGACTTTTCTACATAGGCTAATGCACTGGTAACCAAACGGTTCAAGGTCCAAAAGATAGTTTCAGTGCAACTGCAAACTGTTCAAAGGGCTTTAAACGATTCCAGACGATGAATAAGGGTCTTATCAAGTGAAACGATCGCTCATTTAAAAAAAAAAAAAGTTAAAGTTTTATACTGTAAGCTCAAAATGGTCGCCTTGTTCTGTTCTGCACGTTCGTGACTCTCCAGTTCGAACTCGTTTATCAAAAAATGAACAAATCTTTTTTCATGTCATTTGGTTCATTCAACGAACGAAATGAACAAATTGACTCGGGAAAAGATACTGGTTACCAGCAAAGTGCATTATATGGAGAAAAATCCTTAATTAATTTCTTTTCCACTGAAGAAAGAAAGATATGGACATCTTGGATGACAATGCAAATTATCAGCAAAAGTTTTTTTAAAAGCAAACTACTCCTATAATTTCTGTCAAAATGTTTGAACTATAGTTCATATAGGCATTATATTGGTGCAAATTGGAGTTTAAAAATAACACGAAAACAACAAAATATGACAAATTCAATATTAACCTTTATTGTAAGAATCCTCTCCTACCTGTTTCTTCATCGGTATTTTTCTCCACAGCACAGTTTGAAGTGAGATTCCCCACTCTTCCTCTCCAGATATCTTCCAGTTCCTCTTCCTCCTGCTGAAACAGCCAGTGCCCTGGCTGAAGAAGCTCCTCTGTGCTGATGTCTGCTTTCTCTGCACAGTCTACTCCGGTCTCTTTCACTGTATCACCGAAACACAGCGCACAGTCTCTCACACCACAGTTTATGATACGGCCTCTCTTACGGTAGCCCTGACCATTAGGGAACACGTTTTCTGAGACGTTTATCTTCACATGTTTAGACGTGTTGTATAAGTGGCCATTCAGGTCTTTTATTTTGGTATGAACACTAAAGCAATTGTGACCACAGGATGAAGAAGGACATAGAGGCCTGCATTGACCGACTGATGGGGAACCATTGACCACTGGAGGAGAGGCTTTGTGACAGCTCGAGGAATCATTATCAGGTCCTTCAAATTCAAGTAATGTGAAAACCCTCAAGGCGGGTTCTGTGCTTTCATAAACTTGATTCAATTGTTGGGTTGTGACCTCAGGTTCTTCTGTATCTTCAGAATCTTCCATATCTACCGGGTTTATTTCAGTTTGTCTCATATGAATCATTGGTTCCACCTCTAGCTCTAATTGTGGAGTGCGAGTTGATGGTAATGTTTGGTTGTTATTTTCCATGTCCGAGACACTGTTGTGAAAGCTCTTGGGAAGACTGAAGCTAAGAGTGGATCCCAGAGACAAATAAGAGCAGATGTTTTTAACTGCTCCACTTGAAGTCTTGACAGCATTGGGCAAACTGTCTTCTGGAAAAGGGTTGTTATCAATGACAGAATCCACAGGTAACGCATTTTTTTTAATGAAAACCTGAAGATTGGAGTTTGAATGACTTTCTTTCGCTTTCCGTTCTCCTTCTGGCCAAGTGTTACACCTCCGCCTGAAAAAGCTTAAAGATTTGCCAGACCTTTCCAATCTTATATTGCCAAGCGTAGAGTTTCTCCTCTCCTCATCCTCCTTACGTCTGATCGGTTCTTTAATCTCAAACAAAGAACTTGCCTTGTCAACCATTCCTCCTTCAGCTGTGACATTTTGCGAGAAGGAGGAAGGCTTTGATTGAACTGAGGAGGAACCCAACTCAGTGGTGGTCACGTCCTGTCCTTCTGCATGTGGTGGGGATGGGACCTCCAAGACTCGTCCTGCAGATCTGTAACTATCCGAGACGTGTAAATACGTGAAGACCTGCCATAGAAAGATGAATGCAATAAGCTTGATAAGCTGAAATGCAACTTACAATCTCATAAAAACAAACCCACGGTCAGTTGTAATGGTCCACAAGCGTTCTGTAAACTGAACATGATATGGCTCTTGAATGCAAACACACACAGCTGTGGTGGCAATAGCTGACGCATGACTAATATGATTGCATGCCAAGTTAATAAATCCTATATGGCGGCTTCACAGCGCATTAGTACAATACACACCACTAGGAGGCTTTTCAAAGCCATGCCATGGAAAGTTAATCATGAGGTCATTGTTTTACCACATGGGACAGGATGTACAGAGCCGGGAGAATAATAAGCACATGCATGTCTGGTTTGTGTGCGAGCTTTGAGCTCAGTTTGGAATGTGTCTGAAGTTAACACAGTTTTTGAAGTCTTACTTACTCTATGAGTGACTTCAGCTGCCCCTTCATGCCGCAGGTGGTCGTCGCTTTGGTTTTGGTTTGTTTCTAGATTGTTTTGTGTTGCATTTCGCATCAAGTCTTGTTTGTAGTTTGGTGACTGAGGGTTTTTTTGCGCTTGATGCATGACTGATAGTTTTTGCACCTGATCAGTGTCTGGTGATAATCGCAGATTAGATCGCTTGTTGATGGACTGCAGATTCTCTGTTAGGTGGTTGCAAAACGATGATTCAGTGTTACATGGGGACAAAAGGCTGGATACTTCCTGTTTGCTTAGTGACTGGACTTGTTCTCCATGGTTTTTGTTTTGCAACTGTCCGAGATTCCAAAAAGATGAATTTTGTTGGGTCTCTTTACTCATGGCTGATTCATTCTGCCATTTCACCAGAAGCATTTCTTGTGGCTGTTGCATTTGCATTGAGTTTTTGTCTTGTGATTGATGTCTGTCCGCCTGAGTGCTGCTTGCTGGCTCTTCATGTATGTCATTATTGTTGGGTGACCATTGCTTTGTCACTTGGTTGATGCCTGAAGACTGTTCATCAAAGGTCAAAATGAGACAAATGCTAGACCCTAGCGAAGTCTTTGAAAGGCAGGACTCCTGACTGACAAGACTGGAAACATCATGCCTCCCGCTCTTTTGCTCGAAGTTGTTTTGAGATGACTGTGTTTCAGTAGCACCTCCTTTGGCCTCTCCATTTCTGCAGAGACTATCAGAAGGATTTTTGAAAGACAGAGCCTAAACAAGAAAAAAAGTGCAAAAATAATAGCATTTTAAATGTATTATTAATCAATTAAATTATAGTGTATTTATTTTTTTATTTAAATGCTGGGTCAAATATGGACTGGACAAACCCAAACATTAGGTTAAAAATGTCATTAAAAAATTTAACCCAATGGCTGGGTTTGTCCATACTTTGTCTTAAAGTTGAGTTAAAACAACCCAGAAATTTTTAGAGTGTATTTATTTAAAATAAGATAAATAATTTATGAATGAGGGATTAATGCAATTATGATGTTATCTAAAATGCATACTGATATGTCAGTCTCAGAATTTTGCTGTGATTTTTTAAAAAAAAATAATAACTAAACTTTTAAGAGAATGTTGTCCTAAGTAAAGGATTTCAACATGGTTGTGTTTTATATCTCTTGTATTGCTTTTCCCTCTCAAATAATATAGTAATTCAAGCCTTTTTTGTATATTTAATAAACATTCAGTATTAAGCTGGATAATGTGTGGCCATTATTGCAAAAGAGATCCTGATGGGGTTCATTTTGCCATAATGTATATTATTCCATGCATGATTTAAATTACATCATTTGTAAAAGAAGTCGGGAAAAAAAATCTAGAAACCTGCTGTTGAGCGGAATAATTTGTTGACTCTGATTTCCCATCCTTAAGCTGCTCTTTTTGAGCGTGCCAGTTCACCTGGATCCATCCCATCATGCTTTGCAACTCATCTGTTCTCTCCTTGATCTAGAGACAGGAAGATGTTAATCAAAAAAACATCATAGCGAACATTCTGCAGATGGACGCCGCAAAACAGTTGACATCGCTTTTAGATGACCATGTGGTGGTAACAGTGAGTAAATCAATCACACACTCACAATGTCTTTAAACGGACTCTCATCTTGCATAAGCATTTGACCAGCTGCGGCCAGTTTGCTAAACTCATCCAGCTTTGTTTCAATGCAGTGATCAATCTCTGCAATTTCACTCTCTCTGCAAGCAGAGCTGCCAGCAAGGATACAGGATCTGGTGTTCTCTGTCCACGTACTAAACGACACAAAAAGAGAGACCGTGCTAAAATAATATAATATAACAATACCACATATTATAAAGTATTTCCTTCTTAAGTTGTTGACATTGAACATGAAATATTCACAATGTATAATTATCAAAATTTGTTAGACGTTCTCTCTTACATCATGGCAAGATAGTTTTCAAAGTAGTCCTGAATCTGGTGAAACTTCTCCAGGCGGCCTCTGTTCTCAGTCATGTTGCGGCCTACTTCCTCCCAAGCCTGCAGGATCGCCTGAACTTCTTCCCTGAGAGGGTCTCTCTCCTCTGGGGAAGGAACCTTTAGCTGTCTGGCTAGTCTTTCCATCTCTCTCACCTCCGACTCAATGATATTAGAGTGAGCCTTAATTTGTGAGACAAAAATTGTATTAATTAGAATGACAACCTGATTAAAAGTATGATAAATGACCTTAAGCTCATTCAATTCATTTCAGGGTGCAATGGGAAAAATTCTAACCAACAAATCCCATATGTAACCTATAATTATATTAATACTGTTTAATCTTAGCAACCTTTTAATACTTAAAAAGCTGGGCCCATCTTTAACTACTGCAAAAAGAAGATATTGTGAAGAATGTTGGTAACCAGACAGTTGACGTAGAAGTTAGAAGAAATACTATAGAAGTTAATGGCTATCTGGTTACCAATATTCTTCACAATATCTGCTTTTTGGTTCAACAGAACAAAGAAACTCCCACACACAGATTTGGAACAACATGTAATGACAAAATTACATTTTTGGGTGGACTATCCCTTTAATTATCCCAGCTAGCAGTCGACTGACATTAAACTTTTAAATGTTGTAGAAATAATGTCAGTTTATGAAAAAACATGAATTCAATGCCAAAACAATGTTGAACACCAAATAGTTGTTAACTCACTATTGGTCAAGATAGAAATATCAACAATTTTTGAGTCAAATCAACATTATTTGTAGACTGCAACCTCAAAATTCAACGGTTATCCAACACTGGCACTTGTGACTCAACGTTAAAATGCCAGCTGGGACTGATCTGGAGTCATTCAAATAGAGATTAACTAGTATACATTGGTAAATGTATTTTTTTATTGTCTGACCTCTAGGTCATCCTGCTGCTCCTGTAGGCCTTCCAGACCACTGAGGTCAGAGTCACAAAGCACAGCCATATCTGCTTCTATGTCCAGGAGGTCCATACTGAGCTCAGCACAGCGGCAGAGGTGCTGGTTTATCTGCAGTGTTAGATTAGATACCTGAGAAAAGATAAATCTGCTCTTAAGTGACATGTGATTGACTATGAAAAAACATGCAGTAGCCACAAAAAGTGTATGGACACTTTGCCTTTTAATTTCAGAATGGCAATTCATAAAATATCAACCAATTGGCATCTTTAAACTCATGACATTGTCACTGAATTAAATGTACTTTTCTTATCCAATATTATTATTATTAACATTATATATTAGTATTTTAACCAAATATTCCCAAAGAAACTACTAATAGTTACTATAAAATATAGTAACTATATTATAATTTGAACATAATTAATAATTGATCAATTTTACATTAACCTTAAATTTCCAAAAACATTTTAAAGATGTCTGCAAAAGATGTTTTGGCAAAAATTATTAGCAGTGCTATAGAAATTGGTAAAATATTGTGCATGCCATTTATATATCTAAAATCAGGTTGATGTTGGACATCGCTTATAACATTTTACCGAGCTTTGTAGTTCATCAGTGGTCTGGTCCTGTTTCTGGGATCTTTCTTGATCAGTTTGATCTAGTGACATTTCTGCATCCTCAGGCATTTCATGCCTATCCAGTGGTCCAGGAACATCCTAAAGCAGATTCATAATGGTGTAAGTGGTCCTGACCTGTATTCATTACATTATCTACACAGAAAAATCATGTTATGAATCTGAAACAGAGTATGTTAAATTAATAACCAAGAATTACCACATTTAAAACTAGAGGTTTTATATAATATATGATGTTCTGTTCGGTTTACTTGGCTCTTTTTGTGATATCCTGTGGGATCCAGAAGTTCAAGGAACTTTTCAAGCATTCCTGAACTGCCGCCTTCTACATTTTCCGGGAGATGGTTTGAGAGCGTGAATTCTGATACCATCTGTACGGCTTTATCTCCAGTTTGGGTTTTTTCCACTAGTTCAGTCTGATTGTTCTCTTCATATTTCGTCTGCAGGGCATCCCAAAGGACCTCCACCTGGCTTAGGAGCTCCTCTATTTTGTGGTCTTGTCTTTGCTTTGAGCAGTCATGCTCTTCATTCTTTATTCAATTTCCAAAAGGAGATGAAAAGAGATAAGTGAGATCATTTATCAGTTTAGCGCATTGTTATGAAAAAAATCTTGAAATCGTATTACCATCCCAGTGGATGTCTTTGACTCTTTCATCAGCTTATTGGGTATGAAACAATCTTGAGCGGAAACAGGGGTTGTTTGAGCCATCTGGGCGATACAGCTGGGAAAGTATTAACTGTTAATCAAACTTTACTCAACACCTGCATCTTGAAATCCATTGTATGAAATGACATCCCACAATTACAGATCGTTTACTTCATCAGTCATCCACATATTTGTTGTGAAATAAAAAACTAATTGCACCTCTTCCTGTCCTGTTTTTCCGAGATATTGTCCAGCTTGGAACAGCTGTTCTCCGACAGTGAGCCTCGACTCCCTACAGAACATTCCTCAACTGGACTCCACATCCTATGGGCCCACAGCCCTTGAGAGCACTGCAGAAATACATGTTTAGGCATATAATTAGTATTAATTGACATCGGGACATTGAATTTTTTGAAAATAATGCACACACGAGATGGGAATGCACGACATGTTACACCTCGGGTGTGCATTATTTCCTAATAATTCAATGTCCCGATGTCAATTATTCCACTTATACTACACATGTTGTTTTTCAAGACATTTGTCAGGTTTTTGTATGAATCCCATCCCATAACTCCATTGCTAATTCCAAAACATAATTTTAGAGCCTGGAACTACTTTCGCCAAGAGCGTTATTCAACTAATCATATTCAATCATTCAACTACCCCATAGTATAATCACGGATAATTCACACCAGAATATCATAGACATATGGGGTGGCATATTTCGACTTAGACTGGTAAGAAATACCCTAGCAACTACATTGCAACATGCTTAAAAACATTTAAAACACTTTAGCAACCTCATAGCAACATGCTTAAAACTAGAACACTTAAGCGAATGCCACTTAAAATATCTCAGCAACTGCATAGCAACATGCTTAAAACACTTTAAACACATTAGCAACTACATAGCGACTCCCTGGCAACTACTCACAATCCCCTGTTATTATGGTGGTAGGTTTGCTTGGTATTTAGTTGTTATGTGATATCCGAAGAAGCCCATTTCAACTTAAAAAATGTGGATGTTTTTATATTTACATAATTGTGACTTTACATATGACAGTTTAACTTTATATTTAAAATGCAACTTTATTATTTTAAACTTCATCTCACATTACTTTTAGTATTATTTTTGTTTAATCTGAGGCAGAAACAGGCCTATAGAAATCACACGAGTACCAATAGGAAAGCCAATATGATTGGATTTGAGGATTCAGTTGTGGTTTTGGCGAAGGTTATTTACATTCTCATGCATGATTTGAACTCTTCACTTTTTTTCTATCTTTGCAGTTTAAAACTTAAGTAATATCATTGTCTAGATAGAAGGTTGTTGGTCAAATGAGACAAGTTAAAAGCCTCATTGTAAATGATTGTCTCACTGAACAGAAATGTCAGAGCAATCTACTTTTATATGTGGTCATGACTGGTCATTTATAATCACACGCTAACATATGTTTTTGGAGGCAGTGCAACCAACCTCAAATCCTCTGAGACGGTTTTGCTCCTCTTTGACGTCTTTTCCCATTATGCTGTGACCCTCATTTCTAGCAAAGCTCTGTGACTCATGGCATGTGGTTGGAGGATCAATGGGTAAAGTTGACGGACGTTTTGAAGACACATCTGTCTTCTGGTTCCTGTAGAAGTGGAACAAAACATTACCTCTAATGGCACCACCGAGGCATCATTACTCTTCAAGCATTTCAAACATATGATATTTCATCATCATTTTAGACCATACAGGTCAGTAGACTGTAAATCTTTAATGCTAACAACTTGCAGATTGAAAATATAAAAATATCTACAGATCACTAACATCATCTCTGCTGCTTATGTAATCCTGGATGAAATTTTGCAGCAATTGTTTTGGTTTGGGTAGATATTACTGTTGGCAGGATATGCAAGCAATGATGTCACCTCCTTCTTGTCTGGTTAGCTCATAGTTTCAGGAAAGGTGTGTTTGCAGAGCTAGTGATAAAGGACTTGTTGAAAGAGCCAAAAAGCAATGTAACCATCTCTGTCGACAAAGCCAACATGGCATGTTTGCTACATTTTAAAAAATAGCTAATTCATTTTGGTGAACAACTAACAATTGGTGTATAGCGCCACCTACAGTAATTAGTGCAATCATAATCATCGTTTTTTTGGACATGGAATGACAATGTGAGAGATAGTGTGGTCAATGGATTGTACCTTTGTAGCTGCCGAAAAAACTCCATAACAGTTTTAAAAGTTGTGACTAAGGTCCATTCCTCCCTTATTTCCTAATTTTTCCAAAATTATTTGGAAGTAATTTTATTCTAAAATTTCAAATGACTAGTTTCTAAGGCCACGGGAAGTACCATATATGTGATTTTTGTGTAAGTGTGTTTTCAGTTGGTGTGAATTTAGAATAATCAATCAATATTTTTGTTCCATTTCCTAGAATAGAAAGTCTTTTAAGACAAATGTAATAAAATTGTGTTTACATTTTATGAATGTGTATCAAATTTCAAAAGCCAAAGAGACTCTAATTTTGATTTCATACGTATAGTTTATTTTATTCTGCTTAGTTGTTTTAAACTTTCGGTGTTTATCTGAATTAGTTGCTTAGTGAGATTTATGACAAATATTCAAACAGTTATTTTTTATCAGTTCCTTCCTCAGTGCACGGCACATTCCTCCAGATGCGTTTTAACAGAGTACCTGTCTCTCATCATATCTTCATACCATACACATGAGATATTCCTCACATCTGCACCAGAAACTGAATCTTCAACTATTATGTCCTTTGTTCATCTACAACAACCTCTTTCTCTTCCTGTCATTCAGTTCCTCTGTATCTCCTCTCTAACACTTTCAGAAGTCATAGTAGTGAGGTCACAGAGGTCACACTCCAATCTAGTGTCAATCGAGTTTCCATAATGGTGTGAGTATTTGTGGAATTCTGTGTGTAAAGCTGTTGACTGTTCTGTGATAACAGCCATGATCCAATGTGATATTTGGTAAATTAGAAGGGTGACGTTAGCTCAACCACTAATTACAGCTTCCTTTAATGGGATTGGCAACGTTTTAAACCAGGCATGCATGGTTAAATAAAATTATCTAAAAATCGTTCCGTAAGCAAAATAATATGTGTGTAAGCTCTAAGTGAAATTTGAATCACAACAGAATCACACATTAAAAGGAATGCATAAGGCTTAAACTCAGGACCAACATGTAATTAAGTTTGAAACCAAATACATAGCAATTACATCAAAACAACATATACCATTCATGATCCAAGACTCTGCAATATGTCAGTATCAAAATAAAAGACCATAACATTACATCACTAAACCACATGTCAGTTCAACTTTGTTGACAATTATGGATTCCATTTTAGCACAATGTCATGTGCCATTCCAAGCCTTAAATATGACCTCACTGCTCTCATGTTCTTTATTTACTATTGTTTTTTGTTCACAGGAGGACAATAGCAGTAAGGAGACTCTCGTTACCGGAGAAACTCCTGGAGAAGTGCCCAGTTCTCCTTCACCTCAGCCTGTTTGCATGTAACTCTTCTGGCCAGGGTTGGGTGGAGAGTTGACAGGCGAGACGCAGACTCATTCAGCATCTGGAAAGAGAGTTGTCCAGAGAGGGGTGGGGTCGTGGAAGGAAATGACATCATTAATTTGGAGTTCAAATGCCACAGTCCAGAGAAAAAACTTGTGCGTGAGACTAATATAACGGACTATTTATAGTGAGAAATCATATATGATATATATATATATGAAGAGTTCAGATGCAAAAGCCTCTAAGTGCCATTTGGAAATTTCTTCTAGAATGATCATTTTTATCAAGCTTGTATATTTAAGTTCAGTAATTTCACTTAAATGGCAATGATTATTATCTATTAATTGTTATTTAAGTGAAATTACTGAACTTAAATATACAAGCTTGATAAAAATCATCATTAAAGAAGAAAATTTCAAATGGCATTTAGAGGCTTTTGCATCTGAACTCTTCATATATATATATATATATATACTGTATATATAATTATATGTATACATAAAAAAGCATAGTGACTGTGTCAGGGTCATATGTTTTCATGTTCTTAAAAACAGGTTTACACAAGAAGACATTATTTCCTCCAATGAGATCATGGATAGACTTACGTTGATCTGACAGGCAATTTCTCTCTTCTCTTTGTCGCTTTTTTGGATCTCGCCCGCCAATACAAGGTTCCTCTGCAACGAGATTCAGTTCTGGATCAGTAAATACAGTTTGAAGTCTTTTCTAAATGCCAAAACTAACTAACGCTAGTTTTCTCAACCTTCCAATTAATACTGCTGATGATGCTGTCAGCCTGTTGGTAAAACGATGAAACGTCTAGCGCCAACATGAGATCTTGATGATAGTCCCTAAGGAGTGATCTTAACTTCAGCCACCTGCAGAGAAACTAACTGTTAGATTGTATCACTAACAAAAGTGCAATAATTCTCTACGCTCCAGTGCCAGGAAATCTTACGATTTGTCAACGTGGTCCGCCGGGCTTTGTCTTGTTCTAAACATTTCCAATCCTAAATCTACACCATCTGACGTGTTCGGAAGAGGTCTTTCTGGTTCCTCCTGGCACAGGAGATGCATTAAGCAATCATGAGGTAATAGTCCAACAAGACACAATAATAAACAAAACAGAAACATATTTACAATAAATTTAACCTGCATCAGGTCCAGACTTGTTGTCAGTTGGATGAGAGAGTTCTCGATGTCCTTGAGGTCTCTCCTTTGGCTGTGAGCCGCTTCCTCTGGTTGATCACATGGGAAAGCTGGCATGCCTTTATCGTAATGAAGGTTCCTTATCTTCCTTCCTTTAGTCCATGAATCAGTCTGTAATGAGATATAGTCACAGTCTAAAGATATAGAGTGCATTCTTTAAAAAAATAAGAAACATCTGAAACATCTTATTTTCCTAAGCATAATTTTCAATATTTTTATCAGTTATTTTAAGTATTTTATTGTCCAACCAGTTATGGGTTTCATTTGCAGTGAAAATATATATAACATACATATATATATACTTGTAATTTATTGTGAAATGGCAATTTCTGAGTGAAAGTTGTTTATAGACCAATTATATATCAGTGTGTGCTCGCTATTGACCGACAGACTATTTCTCCTTTCGCAAATATCCCAAAATATCATTCTATGTTGCTCCAAATAATTCGTCTTGCACATCAAGTTCAGATTTCTTCTGCAGTTTCTCAGCTGTTAGGCAATAAAACCATGCTGTTTGTTTGGGTACATGAAGTACAGATTAAAGGCCAAATTGATTTGAAAAGATTGCTTACTCTATGATATGCCAAGATATTTTCTTCAGAGGTATCAAATATCTCCACAGCAAACACCTCATATTTATGCACCTGTGTTTAGGACACCCGGGGGATTTTTATGATGTATTGTAGATTTAAATCACATTAATAGCAGGATCAGAGTCTGTTGGCCCACCAACAATACATGAGCCTGCAGCAAGGTGTGGTACTTCCAAATAATGATCTCATCCATTAGCGGTGGTGCTTTATGTTGCAGATCTTGCATTTCTTAACTTGTCTTCTGCACCACTGCGATGACTGCATCCTGAGCACATGGTGTTAAAATTCTGTAACAGCCTGCAAACCACACCTTTTACCCTCTAACATTTATATTATGGCTTTATCACTTACATTTAAGTTGTGGAATATCATGTGCCATTTATTTAGCCACAAAGTGCATCACGACCAATAGTTTAAATATTATTTGGCATCATTAGTGTAGTTGTGCCATGTTTTATCATCAGTTTAATCTCAGATTCTTCCCTCTGTGTTCCAGTTTAGAACCACTTTTTTTTTTTTTTTTTTTTTTTTTTGTGGAAATTGCCAGTTCATCTCGCCTGTGGGCTTGTGTAATGAGGGGCCTGGCTATGACCTCATCTCAATGAACACAGTGTGCAAAACTGAACTAATCCACATTTTTTTCTTCTTTTTTCTTCCTTTCACATTAAGACAATGTGTTCTTGTTGTACTCATTTGTGCATGCTATGAGAAGCTGCATTTCTAGTTTTGCAGTGGGAGACTGTGGAGTGAATGCACGGGCAGGAGGCAATTGTAACAATTTAACAAACGGCTCATAAAAAAACAGCGAGAGACTGAAAATGAGAAAAACAAATATGGACCTGTGACGAAAAAAAATGCAAATTGTGGTTTTTACGATCGTCTGATCCTGCAGACGTTTGTTTTATTTGCTTTACTTTTGTTTGTTTGTAAAATTGCATTCAGTGAGGAGAAAATATTAAAGTGGGATATATAGGACCTGTTATAATATGAATTATTATAAATTTAAATATTGAATGAAAATGACAAAAATATATGATAGAGAGATAAATATAAGAATATACAGTAAGATAGATAGATAAAAAATATAAGATAGATAGATAGATGTATGGTTATATATTATGTATGTGTATGATTCTAAATTAAAATATTGTGTTCAAATGGAAAAATATGATATTTAGATATTTACACACATCAATAATAATGGTATATATATATACGAAGAGTTCAGATGCAAAAGCCAAATGCCATTTGAAATTTTCTTCTAAAATGACCATTTTTATCAAGCTTGTATATTTAAGTTCAGTAATTTCACTTAAATGCCATTTAAGTGAAATTACTGAACTTAAATATACAAGCTTGATAAAAATTATCATTTTAGAAGAAAATTTCAAATGGCACTTAGAGGCTTTTGCATCTGAACTCTTCATATATATATATATCTATATATATATATATATACTGTAAAAAAATTTTGGTTTAGCTTAAAAAAAATAAGTAACCTTACTTACTGGTTGCCTTAAACTTGAGTTAATGCAATGAAGGGGATGAATTTAATCACCAGAAACTCAAAATATTATGTTATCGGAACTACATAAATTATCTAAGTTGATTTGACATTAAATGTTGTGAATACAAATCATGAAAATATTTTTTACAGTGTGTGTGTATATATATATATATATAACACATAAAAACAATCCATTCTTGCTCACCTCTAGCTGTGCACCAGACTTGTCACTCAGTCTTTCCTCAACTAGAAACTGCTTTTCAGTAGAAGTACTTGGCTTGTTCGTCTCAGAGTTGGTCACGTTAAAGTCAGCGACATGGCAGTTCATCCGGCTTTCAGCGTTTGCGCACATAGCAATCTTCTTGATAGATCTGGAGGAGGTTGATGGGGACACAGAATCCCTCTCATCTTCCTCTTTAATATCGTCTGAAAGTCCCTCCGCTGTTGTGGATGTGGACACTCTCTCCTGATGGAAGGAAGAATCGTCATCGTTTGAGTCGTTTCTCAATTCACAGCAGTCCAGACCCGGTACAGGAAGGATGATTCCCACACAATCCAAACATTTTGTCTCGGAGGGGACAGATAACTTAGTCCCGATGGTAAAAGGTTGGATCCTCTTCATTGCTCTTCTTGCTTTAATCATCAGAATGAGGAGCAAATGACCATAAAACAATAAAACATCACTCTCATTGTTTAAATAATCCTTTGATAAAATGACAAACCTGAAGTTAACCAAGCCAGTTAAGCTAAATTGCTACAGTCTGAAATGTTCTGAGACACTAGAGAGACTTTTGAGATGCAGACTGCAGGAACTGTGGAGAACGTGACTCTTGCAAAGCCTCACTTCTGCTCAGACTATGAGAAAGCAAGAGGGGGGGTTGAGGGAGGAGAAGCGTAGGGAGAGTTTAGTAGAAACAGGGTGAGGTCATCACACTCAGTCACGGCCCCATTTGGAGGGAGAGAGGGCTGTAAACCCAAGCTGTAAAAGCTTCCTCCCAAAATAAGAAGTTGTGGGAAGATAAGAGTCAGAAACACACAGTCGAGCCCTGTCTGAGGCCTTGCTTCTCCACGATGATGTCATTTATTTTTCCTCAGCTGTTCCCTTTCACTTTCTTTTTTTTTATCATGCAGTCCTTTTGTCAGATTTAATGCAGCATACAAATCACACATTCCTTTACGTTACAAAATATGCACCATTTTTTTCATCTAAAGATGTGCTCGGATACTTCCTGCAGCTAAATAAACAGATAAATAGGTGTGGGGCTGTAAGTGGTTTAGACGGTGGTAGTCTCATACTATTATCTAAATGTTTACAGAGCAGCAACAGGGGAAAACATTGCACATTCTGGCTGTGGCCCTCCTCTGATTCAAACCAGGTGTTTGGTGCAGTGTGTTGGAACAAGCTACTGTATAGCACTTGACTGTGTCTGTGAGGAGGATTAGTCTTATCTCACAAGTCTGATAGTCCTGACACTTTATTTTATGTGATTTTTTTTTAAAGCTACACTGTGTAACTCTTTTATTTTATTCTTAGCTAAAACACTTAGTTCTTTCAAAAAAAAAATGTGCTCATTAATGTGTATTAATTATAAAGTGTATAATATGCCCTTGACAATACATACAGGTAAGGGGTTCTAATGTCGCTCGCCATGTTGCCCCTCCATCTTGAAAGTACATTAGCCAAAGAGGGACATACCCCTTAATTCAAGCTTCGCCTTTCGCGTTTACTTTTGAGTTGGACGAGGTCCACTAATCTTGGACTACATTGGCCACCGTAGGAGTTAAAACGAAATCGGAATTGAGAGGAACAGAAACTAATATTCACTGGATGGTCATATACCTTTTCACCGCTAGATGGGGGTAAAAATCACACAGTGTAGCTTTAAGTTTACTTTAACAGCCTTTAAAGTTCATAATAGCAGTCAGTATGTTATTATGAATTACTATTTACTTATGTTGCACTTACAGCGCATACTTACCTAAGAAAATACTCTAATAATAACTATTATCTAATTTGTTGAAATAATGTCAGTTTATGAAAAAACATGAATTCAATGCCAAAACAACGTTGAACACCAAATAGCTCAAATGGTGTTGTTAACTCACTATGGATTCAACATAGAAATATCAACAATTTTTGAGTCAAATCAACATTATTTGTAGGCTACAACCACAAAATTCAACGGTTATCCAACACTGACACCTGCGTTGATTCAACAGTGACTCAACGTTAAAATGCCAGCTGGGTTAGTATCTATTACCCAGTTATTAATTACTATAATAAGTACATAGTATTTCTAGCTACAAAGGGAACAGGGTTTGTAAAATAAAGCACTACCAAAGGATATGACCAACATGTAAAAAAAAAAGCATTACTTTCTTCAGGATAAAAGGAAATAATATAACAGACATAAAGTATAATAGGGCTGGTTAATGTCACTGCTTGTCTAGACTTAAAGATGAATTGTACTAATTCTACATCGTTGTACACTGAACAGAGATACCTCACAGAAACACAAAAGCCACAGTTTGAGACTCTTGAGTGAAAATATATGCAGCAACATGATCTCGGATTCCTTTCGATGTGACTCATCCTTTAGATTGTCTTTTCATGAAGAGACTAAAGTGTGAACAAAGACTTTAGTCACAGAGGCTCCCTGCAGATCTTTTTTCTTGGACTCACGCTGAACTTGTACTATTTTCTTGGGTTTTCCAACAATAAAGTCAAAGTTTCATGAACAATTATGGATGGATAATATGAAATTGAATATTTTGATTGGTAAATGCTTTGATTGTGCATAGTCTGACATTTAAGATGGCGATGAATGACTTCTTGTGGTGTAGCTAGAGGCACTTATGATGTAATGCTTAAAATGTCAGACATTTTTTTTTCAACTTATATAATGATAAACCCTTCAATAATCAGCTTCTCGTTCAAATTAATTAAACCAACTGAGATTGTCATGTTTTTATAAAACTCTCTACCTGCTGTTGACTGACTGAATTTTGTAAGATTATAACCATAGTTCTTCAGGTCAGGGGAATGTTAGCTATTTGTAATGGGAGTCCGGCAGTAGATAGATAGGGGTATGTGAGTCTTGAAAGGAGGGGGGAGGAAATAAGGATTCAGAGAGAGTTAAGTTGATAAAAGTGAGGTCAACATCATGCTCTCAGCCGCAGACAGATGAGGCAATAAACCACTGCTGTAAAAGCTTAATAAGAGTAAGAGGTGGACAGTAACAAAATATTTACTTGAGTACTGTACTTTTTTAGTATCTGTATTTTACTTGAGTATTATTTTTTCTGGAAACTTTTTTACTTTAACTTCACTTCATTTTAAAGACAAAAATCATACTTTTTACTCCACTACATTTCTGTCAAAGTAATGTCAGTCAGGGGATGATTTTGGTTGCAGGGGTTGTGTTTTGGTTGGAAATTAAAGTCGGGGTTTGATGTCAGAACCCGTCTAATGTTGGTTTCTGACATCAACCTGATTGTCATTTTCAACCATAATACAAAGTCTGTCAAACGTTGGAGATGTCAATCTGACATTGGATTCTGACGTCAACCTTTTTCATATTCATTTTCAACGTTGGGTTTGGTCTTCTAAATGCGAATTTTGTCAATGTTTTGAGAACATAGCTTATAGATAACTGTAAGGTTAGCATATTCATACTAAAATCCAAATTTAAATAGGGCACTATTTGAGGGAACAGCCATTTGGCTGTCCGAAACCATTGTGGATGTAATTAAGTGCACTTATTCAATCTCACATTCAATCCCACTACTGGAACTGTGCTCTAGAAATAAATTTGATATTGATATGAGGGTTGGCAGGCTTAGATTAAGAGGCATAAGGTACTATATTACATACATAGCCAACAGTTATCATACAGTTAAATATATTACCGACCATATATATATATATATATATATATAATATATATATACACACGTGTATATGGACAGTAATATATTTTGAAATATATACAAAATATTTTCACACAATAAACAGTTTTTTTTATTCATCAAGTTTATTTTTTGTTATTTTGTTTATTTTTTTTAATAATTCATATATTATATTATAATTACTATACTATGCTATAATATAAATAGTAATTATATTATAATTACTATAATTAATTACTTTCGGTAGTACTGTATTTTTGTAGATGATCTGACCAAAGACTTCTATTTAATGACTTTTATTTTGTTTATGTGTAAGCTATGGAAGCAGAAGTCACGTGACATAACAACACAAGTTCGGGTGTCATATGATAGTAGTTTCAATTTCAACATGGCTTCGCTTCACATCAGTTTGCTGCTCCAGCTGTTTTTCTGTCTTGTGTTTTCTCTACCCACGGGTCGAAACTCCATCTGCGGATATAAGGTGAGTTTTGGTTTACTGGGTGAATTTTCTGAAGTCTTTCCTTGTAGGATCTTTAAAAGAGATTCGAGTAATTTAAATGTAAAATCTTAAGTTGCCACTGAGGGAAATACAGAAACAACAAAAAGTACCTTGGTAGTAATTATTTTGGACATTTTGTTTTTTTAGTTTCGTTTTTTTTTTCACTGTGTTTGGGTCATGATGTCGTGCACTAACCAATACATTTATTTTTTTTACAAATCATTTATTTTTTGTCTATTTTAAAATATAAGTTGACTCAGTTTTGCCATTTCGGCAGATCAATTATGAATATATGAGCTTTATTTCCCACTGAAGTGTAAAGGAAACGATTGTAGAATGAGGAAGTGAATCTTTTATGTGAACTGTTGTATCTTTCCTATGTTCATTACCTTATTGGATCTTTTCAGTCATGTCCATCCACAAAGCCTTCCATGCTGAACGTCCACCTGGTTCCTCACACACATGATGATGTTGGTTGGCTCAAGACTGTGGATCAGTACTACTATGGAGGTGAAGTTCTGTTCATGTCAAGTGTTATGTTGTTCGCAAACATGCATTGATATGGTAATAGATCGCATTCTTCATGTGACTGTCTATATTCTGCATATGACTTGTGTGCTGCTTGTCATATGATATGGCAACGCATTGGAGTGGTAATGTTTAACCTCACACCATAATACACAATAACATTTTGTTGGTGCTAGGCTTATTCAGGCATGCAAATAAACCACAAACCTCTGTGTTTTTGTTCCAATCCTTGTCATTTTTCAGACCGAAACAATATCCAGCATGCAGGTGTTCAGTATATTCTGGACTCTGTGATAGACCAGCTACAGAAGGATCCAGCCCGGCGTTTCATCTATGTAGAGACGGCCTTCTTTTACCGCTGGTGGAGGCAACAGAGCCAGAACACACGCCGAATTGTAACTCAGCTTGTCGATGAGGGTGAGGAGGGTATTTGTTTTGGGGTCAGTGACTGGATATTCCTGAGGATAAAAACCAATATATATATATTAAAAAAAAATAATGACAACAAATCTGAAGTGATGTAAAAAGTAATAAAGTACTTTTTTTCCACCACATCTTTAAAGTTTTATCCATCTTTACGGATAAAACTCTTTAAAGTCAATGTCTGAGTAAATTAATTATACTAAAAATGTGAAGTTAATAGTATTAAGTACTAATACACTTGCACCCTGAATCTTCATAATTATTTTCCATATTTAAGGATGTCTGAGATTATAAAAATAATAAAGAAAAGATTCATAAAACACATTTTTACAAAATCATTGCATATAAAGATTCTAAAATGTAAGATGATGTATAAAGTACTAAAATACTTTATTTACTTCCTAAATATTTATAATTATTTTCCATATTTAGGCATGTCTGAGATAAACATTATAAAAAAAATAATAAAGAAAAGATTA